GTTTTCTTCACAGCCCTCAGAAAACATCAACTTGGCCAAAACCTTGATTTTGGACTACTAACCTCTAGAGAGTGAGAGACAATACATTTTTCTGTTAACTGCATTAATGGTAGTACTTTTTTATGATAGTCCAAGCAAGCCATGCAAGTAGTATTTAGTAAAGCAAAATACATGTATCTCTTATGATCCAATAACTCTTCTTGGGAGGTGAATATAAGAAAAAAAATATAAATATATTTACCTAGGTATTTGTGTAAGAATTACTACTGTTAAGACTTTGAAACTCAGAAATAACCCAAAGACCATCACAAAAAAAAAGTGAACATGTTTTGCTGTAGTCATACAATAAAATTTTATAAGAGGAGAATTTAGAAATTGTAGCCACATGCAAGAATACAGATTTATTATCAGAATGCTGTGAAATGGAAGACACAGACACAAAAGAGATTGATCACATGTGTCCAACCTGCAGCCTAGGCTACATGCACCCTAGGATAACTATGAATGCAGATCAAGATAAAATCAGAAACTTACTTTAAAAAATAAACAATTTTTTGGAGGGGGCCACCTTTTTAAAAACTTTTATTGCTACTTATTTGCACGCCTCTCAAGTGCAACCTTTTAAGATAACACGTTATACCAAAAAGCTGGACACATCGGCACTAGAAAAGCAGCTGGGTGGCTCTGAGCACTTGTTCTTGCAGAGGCCCCAGGTTTGGTTCCTGGCACTCCCACGGTGGGTTAAAACCATATGTAAGTGTAGTCCCAGCGGAACTGACACCCTCTTCTGACCTATGAGGGCACCTGGCATACAAGTGGTACACATACGTTCAGGTAAAACACTCATATACATAAATTAAAGAAATCAATCAATCTTTACTGTTTTAATTTAAAAAGTTGGATACACCTCATTGTAGATGAATAGGAAATAGCAATCTGTGGTGTTAGAAGTCAGGACAGTGCTCCTTTGAAGAGGAGGGGAGAGTAGGAATTAGGAGGCAAGAGGACAGTTTCTTGCTATTATTGGTTTGTTTGCTCTTTGTTTTGTTTGATTTGTTTTTGAGACAGAGTTTCCCTGTGTGGTCCTGGCTGTCCTGGAACTCACTCTGTAGACCAGCCTGGCCTCGAACTCGAGACCACCTGCCCTGTGCTAGGATTAAAGTCGTGCACTGCTGCCGCCACCACCCAGCATTTGCTATTATTGTTTTGTCTTTATTGAAAGATGGTCTCAGTACACATCCCAGGATGGCCTGAAGTTCACAATTCTCATACCTGAGCCTCCAGAATTCAGGGATTACACAAGTGTGTCATCATGCAGGGTTCATGTTCTCTTTTTTTTGATCTGGGAGATGGCTACACTAAATTTCTTCAAGATTTACATAATTTGTATACCTTTCTACACATATACTATAGATCAATTAAGAAAAATTGTTTTTCAAAAACTAAGAGAACAGATTAGAGCTGTGAGAGAAAACTAAAAGTTGACACTATCTAGACAGGCATAGTTGCACATGCCTTAATCCCAGCACTCAGGAGGGAGAAGCAGGTGAATTTCTGTGAGTTCGAGGCCAGCCTGATCTAAATAGAGAGCTCTAGGAAAGCCAGGGCTATGTAGAGAGACCCTGTCTCAAAACAAAACAAAAACAAAAACAAAGCCATTATCTAGCAACAGACATTGTAAGAGACATTAATAGAAACAGAATAAAGTAAAGAATTATAAGTGAAAGGCTGGAATTATAGACAAAAGGGAGGATGGGGGCAAAATGAAGAGGGACTGTCTGAGAGCCTCCTGGAATCAACAAACACTAATCAGATTGTCTGTGTTTAAAAATCCAAAATGGGATAAATAAAAAGGAAAGCATGCTGAATGAATTATTCTGAGAATGCAAAAATCCAGAGACAAACACTTCCTTCCAATCAGAAGAATGCCACAAACAAGAACTGGAATGACTTACATTACTCATTTAAAAAAATTTTCAAATGCAAAGAATAGCCACAAATAAAAAATACATTCACCAGAATTCACCACTCAACAATTAATACACTCACTATATTTATACTAGTAACATCTTGGCTTATCCACTCAAAGTTCCTCTAAACATACACATGTTCTTGTATTTAAGAAAACAAGAAAGGGAGCCACCAATAGCATAGTTCTTCACCCCTAAACTATCTTTTGTTTTGTCAAACAGATTCTATTTCCTTATTCATTTAAAAAAATATTTCAAAGTCTAATAAACAAAAAGTTAATGGGAAACCAGCACGACACTATTCATATTCATTTGCTAAATAAGACAATTTAAAATTGTAGCTGCTCACATCATATTCTAACAAAAAAAGGACAATTCTAATTGTATTTTTTGTAAATAGCTCACTTCTTACTTTCCCATTTTCCTGCATAGACTTATATTTTCCTAAGAATAGTGAACAGTCTAAGGACAAGTATTTGGAAATTACTAAGGCTAGCTCACTAAAAGGGAACAGGCACTAGTTGAGCACTACTCTACGGATAAAGCGGAAGGATGAACTGTTAAAGACGCACGCCCGAGACCACAGAGAGTAAGTGGCTCAGACTTCAGCACTCCCTGGGCTCTGAAGCACATGCTCTGTTTACCCAGCTTTCACAGACAAGCACAAAGAAACAAAGGCTAAAGAAGCTAAGGCCATCCAGTGGCAGTTTTGGATGGCATTTGCAACTGAAATCTTCAGGAACCTGAACACAGACATTATGAATATAGAGTGGTCTCACCCTTAAAAACAAAGTAAATCTCCAAAGGAGATGCTTAGCTAGGAAAAACTGGGAAGACACAGGGACAAGGTGAAAGAGCGCAATAGTCTTAGGTTTCATTCATTTACAGCCATGAATACAAATGCACACAGAGGAACTACTAATATGTTAAAAGAGATTAACTTCTAGCGAGAAGTCTTCCACAAACAGCACATACTGTGTCATCCCATTAACAGGAAGTCCTAGAACAGGGAAAACACACCTACTGCAGAACTGGGCCTGGCATGGGAGCGCACGCCTTTAATCTCAGCTGAGAGAGAGAGGGGCAGCGGCAGGTAGATGTCGGCGAATTCAAGGCTAGCCAGGGCTACACAGTGAGACCCCGCCTCAAAACAATAACAAAAGCAAAATACAAACCACCAAGAAGCATAGATCGGGCTAGTGAGGGGGTTCAGCAAATAAAGGCACCTGCCACCAAGCCCGACAGTCTGAGTTCAATCCCTGAGACCTACAACAAAGTAGAAAGAGAGAATCAGCTTCCCAAAAACTGTCCTCTGACCTCCACAAGTGCATAGGTGGTGCAATCACACCTAAAACAAATAGACGTAAGGAAGATAAACAAGCCAGCTGGTGGTGGTGGTGCATGCCTTTAACTCCAGTACTTAGAAGGCAGAGGCAGGCAGATCTCTGAGTTCGATGTCAGCCTGGTCTACAAAGCAAGGTCCTGGACAGCCAGGGCTGTACAGAGAAGTCTCAAAAAACTACAAATAAATAAATAAATAAATAGATAGATAGATAAATAAATAAATAAATAAATAAATAAATAAATAAATAATAAAATAAAATAAAAATTAAATAAGAATTATAGTTAACCATACACACACTTAAGTATTTAGGGGTACAGAAAAATATCTGTAGTTTACTGTGAGATGATTTAAAAATAACTAAGATGGATTGATGTGAAGAAAGGACAGAGGGATAGATAAGTGAAATCTGTTATTACGGATTGGTGATAGAGAGGACTGCGGCTGGCCGCTCAGCATTTGTTCAGTGCTGTTTTATGTGTAACGTGTTTCATAAGACACGCTGCAGAAGGCACGGGACACTTGAACTCCGGGATCAAGGGCACACTATCCATAAGAACAGAGAAAACCATGCGATGGCCTGGTCTGACAGAGGAGATGACATCAATTGTTACAGTTCAGACACGAAATGGTCCCAGTGAGTGGTGCGGCTCTGGGAGGTGGTGAGCCTTGCTGCGGTGGTTCAGCTGGAGGAAGCAGGTTGCTGGGGGTGAGAGTAAGGTTATCAGTGAGCCCCACTTCCTTCTTCACTGCTCAACAGCTACCCCTCCCTCTCATGCTCTCCCCATCAGGAGGGACAGTTCTTTCTAAACTGTGACTCCAAATAAACTTCTCCCTCATTTGGCTTTCGTCAGGTATCTGTCACAGCAACAAGGGAAGGGTTAGCCAGTACAATGACCTTTGAAAAGATGTACAAAAACAACAACAAACTAACTAACTAACTAACTAAATAAATAAATAAATAAATAAATGACATATGAAATGTAAGACATAATATAAACACCAAAAGGTTGCTATTTTAAACTGAAGAAAAGAAAAAAATGTGATAGAGATGTGTGTGTGTGTGTGTGTGTGTGTGTGTGTGTGTGTGTGTGTGTGTGTAATGAATAGTATATATTCAAGAAAGCTGTCAATATGAAATCTTGAGAGTACCTAGTAACTCAGAGACTGAAGATACCTGACTGAAGCTGGGCATGGTGGCACATGCCTTCTTTCATCACAGCACTTGGGAGGCAGAGGCAGGTGGATCTCTAAGTTCTTGAGGCCAGCTTGATCTGCATAGTGAGTTCCAGGACAGCAAGGGCTATGTAGAGAGACCCTAGCTCAAAAAACAGAACAGAACAAAACAAAACCATAAAAACAGGTACCAGAAGACCTGAGTTTGATCCCCAGAACTCACATGGTAATTATGGCAAACTGACCTGACCTCAATAACAAGTATACTTTGGCACATATGTACAGCAAGCATAAATAAATCAAATGCAGTTAAAACACAGCACTCATTGTTCAATGTCTTTCCACCTCAAGTATAAGTAAATTAAAGCTTATGGATAAAGTCTATTTCATTACAATCACTCTAGTTATAGAAAGCTTTGCGATATTTGAAAAGAAAGGATTAAACAGAACTTGGCTTTTTAGCACTTTTTTTTTCTTAGTAATTTTTAGCATGACTTATCAAAGTTCTTTACCTGCCATCTCTTCTGAGGGCAAAAATTATGCCATCTTTTTGGAATGGGAGCAGCTTTTCTCTGAGCTTGTCAGGTAAAAAATCCAGCTGTGTATATGGTTCGCTTGTTAAAGGAGAACTCTGAGGCGTGGGGGCCTTCTTTTTGTCACCAGCTGCAGGCATGCTGAGCCTGAAAAAGGAGGAACATGACACACAAAGGTTGGGGGACATTAGTCACCACACTGCAGAATCCCACATGCACGACAGCAAGTCACTTACACCCAGCTCCAGGATACTGGCTACACACAGACTAGCTAAACCACATTCCCTGAGTGAGCTGCCAAGAAAACCCACGGCACTGAGTCCAGAAGTGACAGAATAATTCACTGTCCAAGAACAGTCCTCTATTTCATTTTGAAACATAATATAGCCATACCCATTTCAAGCAAATAAATACAACACTGAAAAAATCATGCATCAACTGGATTTTTTTTTTAAAGATTTATTTATTATGTATACAGTGCAGAGCACCAGAAGAGGGCACCAGATCTCACTACAGAGGGCTGTGAGCCACCATGTGGCTGCTGGGAATTGAACCCAGGACCTCTGGAAGAGCAGCCAGTGCTCTTAATCTCTGAGCTATCTTGCCAGCCCTCAATTGGATTTTTACAAAACTAGTAACATTATAGCCTTTTGAATCTTTTCTTGATGTTTGTTACGGTGCTGTGGACTAAACCCAGGGCTTGCAAATACTATAAAGTACTCCACGACTGAGCTTAAATTCCAGCTCAGATCTTTAAAAAAAAAAAAAAAAAAAAAAAAAAAAATGCATGTCTTAGGTGATTTACAAATTCTTTGGGAAAATGGCTTAGTGGGTAAAAATGTTTGCCCCACAAGTCTGAGGACATGAGTTTGATTCCCAGGCCCCATGTAAAAAAGGAAAGAATGGACTACACAGTTTTCCTTTGAGTTTTGTGTATGCCCCAACACATAAAATAAAACAATCAAAACAACAGTTACTGTCTAGGAAAATTTGGGGAAAGAAAGATTTAGTAGAATTCACTTCTAAATAATTCTCTTAAAAAGTTAACACTTGCACTGGGCATAGTGGTGCCAGCACTCAGGGGGCCAGCCTGGTCTACACAGAGTTCCAGGCCAGCCTTGTCTATACAGTGAGTTTGAGGCCAGCTAGGGCTACATGCTGTAAATTTGTCTTCAAAAGAGGGTGTGGGGAAAATGATGTGCCAGTGAACACTGAAAGTCTAGAATGGTAAAATCTAGAAAGGCAAAATTCTCAGACCACATAGCTAAAATAAGGAAGATGTGAGACGAAGGTGTAGATCTTTCCTCTATTCATCACCGGAAATACGCCAGGGTGGTACCTTCTTTGTGGTTAAATTACCGTAAAAATACCTGTTTTTAATAGTGTGAATATTTGCCTTAAAGACAGCCACAGTTAAAAATGCTTAACACCCAACCTCTTGAATTCCATGGCGCTGTGCATTCAGAAATATGAGTCTCAGTGTACACATACAGTAGACTCTGTGCTGGACTCTGGCTACATCATAGCAAATACAGATGCTCTTGGAAAAATCTCCTAAAGGCAGGTACTTGTTATTAAGCTGGCATAGAACAGGGATTCTTTTTTTTTAGATCTGGGGGTTTAGAAGAATTTTAATATATGCATATGTTAATATGCATATATTAAAACTGAAACCTGAATAATAAATTTACTAGCGAGGGCAGAAGGGATAAAAAAAAAGTTATTGGAAGAAGTATAGCATACACAAAAACCCTGGTTTGGGAAGGTCTGACATGGGGAAGCGTTGCCACATGACTGCACATGCGCTGGCAAATGATTAGTCATCCCAGGGCCTTACGCCCTACCATGCATGCGCTGCATGGTCACGTAATTTGGCAGCAGCATGATCACATAATCTATGTGCATGTGTGGCATAGCTATGTGAGCCCATACGTGCAAGTGGGGAGGATCCATAAAAAGCGGGCCACAGACTCTCCCCTTCCTCCCCGCCCCAACCATTTCCATAGGCCTAAGCACTCCTCTCTTAAACTCTTACAGTGGGTTTGTCCTACGGCGTGGTTTTCCTCACACGGTAAACAGAGCCACTTGATGAATAAAACAGCGCCGCAAAAAACTAACAGGAAGAATCCTGAGTCTGTACCTTCCTGCTCCTTCCACTGAACCACCCCTCCTCATTTCATGTTGTCACTAGACTCTAGAACACAGAGATCTCACAGTTCTCATCCCAGCTCACTGGTTAATTCTTCCAAGTCTGAACCTCACTCGTGGTCTACCTGCAAGGCAGATGGACCAGGGTTCAGTTCCTAGTAGTTTCCTTTGTTCTTGAGTGTTAACTCATGGCTTTAAATATTATTGCTCAGACAACAACTTCCACATTTACATGTGAGGAACTCTCCTAAACTTCAGATTCACATATCTCACTAGACATCTCTACATTCCAAAAACAGAATTCTTAACTCTCTTCCCCAACCTTTGCTGCATTCATTGCATCCGTCCAGGGACTTGCACTCCATTCTGTCTCAAACTGCACAGCTCTCTATCAGCAACTCCTGTTGACTCCACATTCTAATTATACCCAGAATCTCACCATTTCCAATCATTTACAATCTACTGGCCTGATCTGAACCACCACTGTCTCTAGTCAGAATTTCTAGGAAAATTGAACTGGTATTGCCCGTGTCCACCTTTTCCTTGATCCTTTTTGCAATACAACGGACAGTGAGGTACTCTGGCCTTTACTCAGACCTGTCTCACTACTGCCTTTCAATCTCTTAAGCCATCTTTCTATCTCCCCCACCCCACCCCAGTTACCTCTCCAACACTCGCCTGCTTTTATCATGCTAATGTTCTTGTACTTTCAGGTCTGAGAACACTGCACTAGCTCATCGGAATATCATTCTACCCCCAGATGCCTGCATGACCGCCTTCCTTGTGTCCTTCACACTCTTCTAAGTGGCCATTCTATCAATAAGGAACTTAGCCCCTCTATTTAAATTCTAATTCCTCACAGCTCTACCCTTCCTCACTTTTTCTCCTCCTTGATAGCCCCTATCAGCTTACAAAGTACTACACAATTTACATCCTTTGTTGTTCATTCTATTTCTCTTAATGAGGACATAGCTTCATAAGGGCAGGGGTTTATTGGGGGGGGTTTTGCTTTTTTTGTAATGAGGGATTGAACCTAGGGCCTTCCTTGTGCTTGCTAACCAGGCACTCTGCCCCCGAGCTGTGTCTCCAGTCTTCTTTTACTTTTTACTTCAATACAAGGTCTAAGTCAGCCAGCTGACCTTGAACTTGTGATCCTCCTGCTTCATCAGCCTCCGAAGTAGGTGACTCCAGCAACTGAAGATTTCTTTGTTTTGTTTACAACACCCAGAAGTGTTGTTTTGTTAAACACCCAGAAGCGCCTGGCACTGAGCACTCACTATTACTTGTCTCTTTAAACTTTCAAAGGACAGCCTGGGTGTGTTAGTGCACACTCCTTTAATCCCAGCACCTGGGAGGCAGAAGCAGGCTGATCTCTGAGTTTGAGGCCAGCCTGGTCTACAGAGTGAGTTCCAGGACAGTAGGGCTAATATAGAAAACCCTGCCTTGAAAAACAAAAACCAAATCAATCAATCAATAAAAATAAATAAAGTTTCAAAGGTCAGGAGGACCATGCTGGGTCCAGAAGCAGGACAGGAGCTAGGGATAAGAAGATATAAATTAGCCGGGCAGTGGTGGCACACGCCTTTAATCCCAGCACTTGGGAGGCAGAGCCAGTCGGATCTCTGTGAGTTCAAGGCCAGCCTGGGTTACAAAGCGAGTTCCAGAACAGGCACCAAAACTACACAGAGAAACTCTGTCTGGAAGAAAAAAAAAAAAAAAAAAAAAAGATATAAATTGTGGCCATAAGCATGCACAGTGCTAGTGTGCAACTCGTGCGCAGCAAGGTAGGAATTAAGGGACTAGAACAGTGCTGTGAATGCTTACATGTAGAAGTCACTATAATACAGAAAGTATATTCTAAATTCAAATTATAATAAATAAATTAGTATATTTTGCAGAATGATTGAGAAGTTGAGCCAGTGCTCTTAACAGCTAAGCTATCCTCGAGTCCTGATATAACTATATTTATAGATCATCAGTAAACTAAAGCCTAAATTTAATAAATTGGAATGTTTAATTGGCAAAATTTAATATTATAAGATAGTATATTGATTACAATAAATATAGAATTACATAATATTTTCTGACTCACTTATCACAAGGTTTCCTAAGCTGCCATATCAAATATCAATTACTTTAAAAGCAAAGACACCTTTCATTCCATAGGCAACTGTTTTCAGAAGAATGATAGAATAACTCCCATTTATTGGAAGGCAGCTACACTCACTAACATACCATCAACACCACACCAACTTCCACTTATTGGATATTCTCTTCCATGGAGGCACTATGCTAAAAAAATTTATAACATCTCCTAAATTCTCAAAGCAACTTTCAAAGCATTTTTTTTTACATTTATTTATCCCATGGTGTGTGTGTGTGTGTGTGTGTGTGTGTGTGTGTGTGTGTGTGTGTGTCCTTGAGAGGACTGTGCACCCATGTAGAGATAAGAAATTTTGGGGAGTCTTTCCACCATGTAAATTCTGGGGACGAAACCCAGGTCCTCAGCCTTGGCAGTAAGTGCCTTTATCCACTGTGCCATTTCACTGGCCCACAAACTATTGTTATCTGCATGATAAAACTGAGATTCTGAGCTAATAAACAATTCACACAAGTCTTAGAACTGACTGGTTCTGAGTCCAGGACTTACGCTGGTCTGATGTAAAAGTCTGAGCTTTACCATTCTACAACACTGCTTCCAGATCACTCATCTGACAATATTTAAGGAGTGCCTAGCATGTGCCTGTAATGCCAATACTAGGGAAGTGGAGGCAGAAGGATCAGGAGTTCAAGGTCAGCCTCAGCTACACAGAGAGATCAAGGTTATCCTGAGCTACTTGAGATCATCAGAAAAACAAAACAGGATGAAAAGCTCGTTCAGTGAAAGAAAGCAGAAGCCCAGTGTTAAATCCAGCACCTCACCAAATGATCCCAATTTTGTACTTCATACCAAAGAACAATATAAGTAACTATAAAACATGGAAAAAAATTTAACAATACATTTTTTTGTGTACTGGAGAGGAGATAGACACTATAAAAGAAAAGACAACAGATATGAAAACTAAAGTAATTTAAATTCATTTTGGGAAAAACAGCATTTAAAAGTTAAAAAGAAAATTTTAAATGGGAGTAAAGCTTCCCCTAGTATGTGACAAACTGAAATAAACTGAAGTATTTTCTTAAAATTATGATGCTAGGCCAGCAACAGGCTACTTAAAAGAAACTAGACATCGCCAGGGAACATACATATAAAGCATCAGTGGGTTCAAAGAGATACAAACTGCGTTAATGAGTCATCCCTTTCCAATCAGACTAAACAGAGAAAAGAGATGGGAAAAGGGGGGTGGGGCAGAGCACATGGCTCAGTGGGTAACATGTTTTCTGTACAAATCGGAGGACCTGAATTCAGACTCCCAGAACCCATCTAAAATTAGGGTGGGGTGGGGTGCCTCAAAGACAACAGGGTCCTGGCAGCTCCCAAGCTAGCCAGTCTAACTGATAGGGGAAGCTTCAGGTTTGGTGAGAGACAGTGTCTCAGAAAGTATGGTGGAGAAGAGATTGGGGAAGACACCCCAGAGTGAAAGTCTAGTCTCCACATGCACCCACCCAAGGGGGTGCAGCTGCATACCACACATACACAAACCCACACGTAACAGGGAAGCAGGTTCTCTCCAAGAGTCCTATAGTAAAGAAAGTGGAAATATTTCTTCTGGAGAACAATTTAGGAATCACAGAGGCTCTGCAGCTGAACCTACTTTCAAAAAGCTGGGCAGGCGAGACGGCTCAGGAGGTAAAATTCCTGCTGCCAAGCCCAGCGACCTGAATTTTGATCTCTAGCTCCTCGTGGTAACAGAACTGACTACCACAGGCCAAGCTCTAGTCTCCACGCAGATCTCCAGTTCCGCTGTGCACACACACATATACGAAGAATTTACACTTCCACGTTAGCTGCAGCACTGGCCACCAAAGCCAAGAGGGAAAATCAACCTAAATGCCTACCAACCGAAGAATTCCTTTACCAAGTGTGTGTGGCGTGTCAGTACCAAGGATTCAGCCCTGCAAAGGAAAATCCTACCACACCCCACATGACTGAACCCTGGAGACATTGAGTTAAACAAGCTAGTCACGAAATGTATAACTTTGTATGAGGTATTCTAAGATGAGCTCTTAGAAACAGAAAGCAAGGGGTCAGGGAAGACCGAAGGCAGAATTTTAGCTGTGTAAGACAGAAACATTTTACAGCTGTATTGTATAACAAGGTACAGATGGTTAATACACTGTCATGTCCACATGTAAGAACGCTTAAGATGGTAGAGTTTGTTATATGCTTTCACTATGGTAACAAAAAAATTTACTAACTGGAAACTGTAAATAGCCATTAGCAAGAAACAGGTTATATTTGAGCGACACCCCGGAATACAGGCAGCTATAAAAAGGGACAGTGATATTATCACAGTCAACCCACTGAACTTTAAATAAAGCAGTGGCATTTCATCAAAACAGGTCTTCCTTGAGATGCTGGAGCGATTGGGTCAGTGGTTAAGAAAATTGGCAGCTTTTGCAGAGGACCCAGGTTGGATTCCCAGCACCTACACAGCTGCTCACAACCATCTGGAACTTCAATTTTAGGAGATCCAATGCCTTCTTACAGGCATGTAAGTGGTGTACATACATACATGCACTCATACATGTAAAATAAATAAATCTTTAAAAAATAAAACAAAACAAAAACAGTGTCTTTCTGCTGACCATGGTGGTGATGCCTTTTACCTTTTATCCCAGCATTCTGATGACACAGGAAGGCAGAACTCTATGATTCATAAACATTTGAGAAACAATGGTTTAGGGCTGAAAAATCAAAGAGACCTGGATATGTATCTCAGCTTCAAACTGTCTTGCCTAAGGGGTCAGACTTTAAAGTCTTTTTTTTTTTTTTTTGGTTTTTCGAGACAGGGTTTCTCTGTGTAGCTTTGCGCCTTTCCTGGAACTCGCTTTGGAGACCAGGCTGTCCTCGAACTCACAGAGATCCGCCTGCCTCTGCCTCCAAAGGCGCCACCACTGCCCGGCTTGTTCTTGTATTTTATGCATATGAGCACACTGTCTTCATGCACACCAGAAGAAGGAATCTGATCCCATAACAGATGGTTGTGAGCTACCATGTAATTGCTGGGAATTGAACTCAGGACCTCTGGAAAAGCAGTCAAGTGCTCTTAACTGCTGAGCCATCTCTACAGAGACTGACTTTAAAGTCTTATTGCACTTACTGACCCCCAATTTCTTCAATTATTAAACAATATCAGGGCTGAGGATGTAAAACAATGATAGAGTACATACCTAGCAAATGCAAGGCCATCTGTCTCCAGCACTCAAAAATTAAACTCAGAACTGGGCTTTGGTGGCACACACCTTTAATCCCAGCACTCTGGAGGCAGAGGCAGGAGGATCTCTGTGATTTCAAGGCCAGTCTGATCTACAAAGTGAGTTCCAAGACAGCCAGGACTGTTACAAAGAGAAAACTCTGTCTCAAAACCAAAAACAAAACAAAAAAACCCAAAAACAAAACAAAACTAAAAAACCAAAAAAAAAAAAAAACCAAACAACAACAACAACAAGAAAATAAACCACAGATGTGGCACAGGAAATATGTAAATACACTGATTTTTGGCTCAGATAAAGCAGTTAGTAATATGATTGTTACTGTTACTACTTACTGACTTGATTTACTCTGGAAGAGTTTATGAAAAAAAAAAAAAAACAACAACAACAACCAAAAAACCAAACTAAGCATTTAGGGATCATAATGCTAAACATCACTGGAAATTCTAACTCCACGATGGGAATGATGCAGCTCAATGGTGCCTTCTGTTTAATATGCATATTGTACAGGAGCTGATGAGTTCATTAGCTCACACCCAAGCACCCTCCCATGCAAAAGTATTACATTAAAAAGCAAAGACAATTTTTTTTTCCCCTTAGGAAAGAGAAAGTAAGACTGCTTTGGCTGTCGGCAAGTTACAGATTATTTCTGCATCTAGAATTGCACTAGTTAGGTGTTTCATCCACGTGGTGTATAAACAACTCTTATGAGTACTGAACACAGACTTGATAATACTTCAATAAAAATAATGGAAATAGACAATCCTGGTTTTTAAATCTAAAAGTAAAAAGCAAAGAGGAAACCAAATCAACACACAAAACATGACTATGAAGATGCTGGATTTAGGGAGATATTAAAAGACCAAGTAACATTAGTTTTGTTTAATCTTTCTCTTCCTCACTCCTTTTAAACAAAACAAAATAATAATTACCTTTCTGGGCACTGTTGGACCCTTTAAGTCTGATATACTCACTACCAGCGTAAATGTTCAATAAATATTTACAAGAAAAGTTTTAAGACAAAGTTTCCATAAAAATGATGGAAGAGACTTTGAGGGGCATCAGGCTTGAGGTGATCAATCTGGCATGCCTCATTTGATAAGTTTACTAGGTTGTGAATTTTGAAGCCTTTTTTTGATGATGTTGTTATTGGAGTATTACAAGTGTCACCTGGTCACCACTTAATATGATGGAAGGGTTACTCAAAGAGAGAATGGCAATAGGACCATTCCATTAGACTAACAACCCTGAGCTTTCTTCCTTTAAAGGCAACCTCTGGAGAGTGTTTGTATAAACAGGAGGAATTAGCTCAGGACTTCCAAGTCCTTCCAGTCTACAAACCCACGCTGCTTTACATACAGTGGAATAAAAACAAATTAAAGTGACCTCTACAAACTCAAAAGAGGTGCAATCTACTCGTGAGCGGATCTGATAGGAAACATTGGGTCCGCGGAAACAAAAGCAGGATTAGGAAATTACATTAAAGGCTCGAGAATTACACCCATGCCGTTTCACATCTCTGTCTCTCTGTCTGTCTCTCTTTCTCTGTGTGTGTGTCTCTGTCTGTCTCTGTGTATTTTAGACAAGGTCAATACTGTAGTCCCCGCTGTTCTAAAACTCACTCTGAAGCGCAGGCTGAGAAATCGCGGCGATCTTTCGGCTTCCTGCTGTGACAGGCATGAGCCACGACGCCCGACTCTTACCAACTCTTTTCTTAAAACGCAATTAAAGTATATTCAATTTGCCATCTCTTGCCCTACCTACACAGAACTCCCAGACCGCCAAAACTGGTGCCCTAGCTTCAGAATCTCCAACTCCCGCCAAGCTTTTTGCAAGTGTCCGCACCTAAGCGGAAGTGACGTTGGATGACCTGACAGTGGGAGAGTTCAAATACCAGCACTCTAAAACCCTGCGGTATCCCGAGAAAACTCCCTACCCTTCTTTTATATTTTTGCTCCTCCTTAAGTGAGGCGAAAAGACCTGACTAGAACCTTGGGACCTCGTTCATAAATCCAAATTACTCAAAACTTTCCCCCTACCCATCTGGACAAGAAGGGCGCATGGTAACCTCTCAAGAACTACAATTCCCATGAGATGCAACAGGAAGCAAGTGGAGGAAAATGGTAAACGGGTCGCAAAGCATCTTGGGAACTGTAGTTCCATAAGCCAAAGTACTCAGTAGTCTTGCCCTCCACTACTAAGACTGGAGAGACCAGGTGTTCTGCTTGGAACCCGTTACCGCTAAGGGGAGGAGCCACATCCTTAAAGCTTTCCCCACATCTCCCACATGAAGGACAAAATTCTCCTTTCATCCTTAGAAGCGCTACAAATATGCCCTGAAGGAATATAGTTCTCTTCCATATCTCCAGTGACTAAAACCTCCCGGAACTCCACTGCCTCAGGGTCCTACTCGTGGGAAAAGGTGGTTCTTTCACAAGTGGGCAAAATGGCTGTCCTCCTAGCCCCATCATTGGTTGTCTTTTGCGTCCTTCAAGGACGATTACTTGTCAGGGATTGGTTCTTTCTCTTTCGGGGGGTGGAGATAGATTTAGCCCTGTTCTCCCGCGGCCCCGCAGTGATAATGGGGTGGAGCTAAAGTGGTTCTTGAACCTCTGATTGGATCCTGTCTCTGTCACTCAGAGTTCATGTAGCGTATGAGCGAGCCGGCTACCCGTCAACCCGAACGGAGAGGCGGGGCTAGTGCGTGGTGGGAAGGGGCGGGATCCTGCCGCCGCGGCTGCCGCTGGAGCCGGTGTCCGGGCTGGTGATGGGGTTAATTCCCTTCCGTGAGACTCTTCCTTGCAACCAGCCGGCCCCGCCGTCGCCCCGCCGCGCCGCGCTCACGCCGCCTCCTCCTGCTCCTTCTCCTCAGTAACGCGGGTAAGCGATGCCGTCCCCTCCCCCGCGGCGTCCCGGGAATAACGCGCTCGCTCCCCTCCCCCGCTCGCCGACCGGTAGCCCTAACGGAGCGGGAGAGTGAGGCAGCCGGGGAGGGACGCGCTGAGGAGACAGCGTCCCTCCCCGCCAGTCCTCCGGGGGCCCTGGGGTTCCGAGGCGAGCCCGCCCGCCGCTTCCACCGCGCTGTGCCCGCCGCCTCGCCGGGGGCCATGTGCAGCGCCAACCCCCTGAGGCCTAGCGGGGGGACTGGGGACAGGTTCCCCGAGCGTCCCTGATGCAGCTGCTGCTCTCGTGAGCCCTGGAGATCCGGGGAGGACCGCGGGGAGAAGCAGCCACAGCCAGGCCGGGCTGGAGCAGGGGTCGTTCACGGAACTGTTTTCCGGGGCCCGGCGCAGATGCCCAGGGCTGCTAGCCCCGCTTCGGGGAATTGTCACACACCCCGAAAAGGAAACAGCATGTCGTGCCTATACTGCTAGAAAAAAAACATAGGGGAGAGATTAGCACGAAAGTTGAATGACTGTCAGAGCCTTGGTCGCTGATGGTTTTACAGGGACGTTATGGTGTTCACTCCCCTCCCCCCGTTCCCACCCCCGTGTGTTGGAAGTTTTTTCTTTTTTTTTTTTCTTTTCTTTTTTTTTTTTTTTTTTTTTGGTGGTTATTACGTGCAAGATAGTGTCACTGTTGTTTGAACTTGCTTTTATAGATAAACAAATTGGGTCTGGCTGTTGTGATCCCTCTGAATTGGGTCCAGAGATAGCAAGTCTCCTAAACTAGCTAGAGATGAAGACGTATCTTCCAAAACAGTATGCCTTAACTAAATAATATGTTGAATTCCTGAAGGAGAAAAAAAGAATTTTCAGCATGAATGAATGCGCATAAGCACGTATACCTCAACACTGAGGTTATAGTTTGCCCAGGTGGGTTTAAAGAATCCCACCCCCCACCTTTTGTGGTGGTGGTGGGGTGTTGGAGACAGGGTCTCTCTGTGTAGCCCTGGGTGTCCTGGAACTTTCTCTGTAGACTAGGCTGGCCTTGAACTCACAGAGATCCGCCTGCCTCTGCCCCCCAAGTGCTGGGATTAAAGGCGAACCAGACCACCACCCGCCTAAAGAAACTCCTTAAATGTAAATGTCATTGATTTCAAGAGCATTGTGTCATAAAAAGATGGTTAAAATCAAACTGGAAGTCCCTTTTTGCAGTACTTGATCGGTAAGGTTCATGTAGCTACACATTTAACTGAACAAACGTCATTCTCAAAATTTTTCTTCTTTAACTATATTTTAGGGAGTTTTCTTATAATTGCATCAGGTTTTGATAGTGTGCCTATCTTTTCAAGTTCCACTCTGCTTTTTGGCCTAGGAGAATGTGACTTTAATGGATCCAGTAATCTGTAATAGACATGGCTACAGATCACCCCATTTCTAAGACTTTCTAGTTTTTAGAGTAAACATTTGTTCTAAAAAAAAAAAAAGTCTGTTCTTTGAGTGATAGACTGTTTCTTTAGGGTCGGAGAAGTCTATAGTAACTTAGGAACCTGCCATATTCTCAAAATAATGCAAGTAGATACCAAAGTGAAATAGATCCATTAATTTGGATCAAGAAGGAATCTGGTTATGTGTTGTTATTATTATTTTAAGTGTAGCTTTGGGAGATAAGTTCCCTTAGCTATTCCGTGAAGTTCTTATAGCATATGTTGCCAAGCATATTCCCCCAAACTTGATAATTAATTGGTAATTTACGTAATTATATTTTTAGATCTCATGAATTCTTTGCAGGGAAGGACTGATGAAAATACAGGGGACTACATTCTTTTACTAGTTTTGGGATCCTTTCATGAGGCTCTGAGGTTTCCTCACCTGTGTAATGGGGAGGGTAATGTTTAATTTATGGAGTTGTGAGGCCTAGAGAGAGAATATATAAAGCTACTGGGATTGTATCTCATACATATATATTTTGTTACATTAAATTTAATTTTTGTTTTCTCGTTTATTTTCATATTTAGAGAATGAAGTTGTTGTTCATGTGCCCAGGGTATTGTTGCAGCCTCAAAATCTCTTCTGCTGTTGAGTATTGTAGTAGTGTTAATATACACAGTGACCTAAATAGCCATTTTTGTTTTATTACATTTAAGTAAGGTGGGGGCACACAAGTGCCATAGCACATTTTGGGAGGTTAGAGGACAGTGGTACAATTTGCAGAAGTCACTTCTCTCCTTATGTCATGTTGGTCTCGGGGACTGAACTCAAGCAGTCAGATTTGAAGGTTCAGTCAGTGCCCTTTTGCACTAAGCTATCTTGCTGGCCTCTAGTCATTTTTTTTTTTTTTTTTTTTTTTTTTAGCAGAAACAGCATGAGAAATTGGTCATTTGGTACCTAAGAGAATTGTTATGAGATTTTTTTTTTCCTTATGTGTAAAATTTCTGTATTTGGAATGTATTTCAAATACATTACCCATAATAACAATTTATTGTGTTTTGTAATAGTTAAGTATTGTAATATCGTCTGACTTAGTCAATATGTTTCAAGAACTAGTTAACAGTTACTATCCTAGTGTTGTGCTACCAGAGAAGGCTGAGTGATTCTTTGATACAAAGTTAAGATTGAACAAGTTATTTGAATTGATGTGACTATACCAGACTGTTGCTTTGTGTGCTCTTGAAGTGTATTGGTTTGGTTTGGTCAGTGATTGAACCTCCAACCTCACACATGCTAGCAAGTACTCTACCAGTAAGCTAAATCCTTGCTCTTTAGTTGTAACCCATTGTTTAGCAGTCCTTGAGTGTTTCTTTTCTTTGAAATAACATGTTCTTTTCATTCCCAAGCATTTTTGAGAATATAGTGGGTTTTCACACATAAAGGTGTCCTTGGAGTTTGTACAGTTGAGGTAATTCAAGATTAGCATGCACAGTTATATTCTGAAGTATTGCTGACAATAGTAGCCAAGGTTGACAGCATCTGAACAGTCAGATGGCACTTGGGTGCTTCTCTAAGGGGATTTACCAAGTAAAAAAAGAAACTTTCTTTTAAATTGGTGTTTTAAACTATCCAGTTATAGCTGGGTGGTGGTATCACAGACCTTTAATCGTAGCACTCAGGAGACAGAGGCAAATGGATCTCTGAGTTAGAGGCCAGCCTGGTCTACAGATCGTGTTCTAGGACAGCCAGGGCTACACAGGGAAACCGAGTCTCGGGAAAAATCCAGTTATAGCCATTTGGGTTAATATTAAGTTTTAATTCTCAGAAATAAGGAAGTGTAGTAAGAGTTGATAAAGTTTTTTTGCTTTTTTTTTTAAGTGTTACATAAATCATGCTAAAGACTAATGGGTCTGTAATATACTTTTCCTACTTGAATAGAAAACTTCCTTATTAACACTAGTGAGCCATTGTAAAAGTGTCCAGCATTTATATGTCATAGAGGTGTGGTTACAAGTGGGAATGAAATTTTCAGATTGCTCTTGTTGCAAACCACAGAAACAGTGCTCTGTTTCTATAGTCACTCTTGCCTAGAGGAAGAATAATAATGTATTTACAGCTCTAGATAACTAAGTTGACAAGGCAGATGAAAGTTTGAAATGTGTCAGTTTTTCCCAGTATAAACTTAAAAAATATTTTGAATTGCCTTTCACTTAATCCTTGGGGCTCACTGTAATCTTTGTTAGTAGTACAGAGATGTACCATGCATCAAATAACATAAATAAAATTTCTATCAAATTAACTTTGGTCCTCATATAAGGAACACATTAAATAAATGTGCTTGTATCTGATGTTAGCTCACATATGAATATGTGTAATCTCCAAAATGTAGTTTAATTAGTCACCGATGGACAAATGAAATAAGATACTAAATCATGGCTCAAAGCTAGTTTTCTGCCTGAATTTCCCAGCAGTTTGATTTTTCCAGGTTTTTTTCTGCTTACCTGTTGTTAGTCTTCATATTTGTTAAATTAAACATTCCCTTACATTTTATTTTGTTCTTTGCTTTGTTAGTTTTTAGGTTTGTGACTTTTAAAAAATTACTACTACTTTAGGTGTATGGATGTTCTGCCTGCATGTATGTCTGTGCACCTCTTGTATGCCTGGAGCCCTCAGAGGTTAGAGGAGGGTATCAGATCATCTAGAACTTGAGTTATAGACTGTTGTGAGCTGCCATGTGGTGCTGGGAATTGAACCTAGTTTCTCTGAAAGAGCAGCCAGTTCTCCTAATCCTCTGGGCCATCTTTCCAGCCGCCATGACTCTTACTTTTTACCATAAGCTCACTTCTCTAAACAAATTGTACGTTTTGAGCCTCTTACTCTGAATGCTAGATCACTTAGCATTGTAAAAGGGTAACTCTTGGTCTTCTTCACTTATGGCATCCACAACTTGTTGTAATTTCCTTCCAAAAGAAATTAAAATCAAGGAATTGTTTGTATTCCTGACCTTGAGCGGCAGTTACCTGACGTCTGGTGCAAGGAACGTTCTGCCATTTGACTTCTGCCAGTGTTA